CGTTTGCGATGAATTCCTCTGTCTTTGCATTTTGTCTAAGTCTCTGTTCGTTTGCGATGAATTCCTCTGTCTTTGCATTTTGTCTAAGTCTCTGTCTTCTTGTCTGTGTTAGAAAAGCCAGTTATGTTTCCTGCTTCTGAGAGTGTGGCTTTATGAAGAAGTGGTCATGTAAAGCCCAGGGCCTGGTGCTTCAGGGGTGTCTCTGGTGTGTGCTGTGTGCACTCTGCTGCTGTGTTTTGGCTGCTCGGTCCCTCAGGCCAGTCATCTGCAGAGGCGAGGCTCTCCTTGCTTGCAGTGGACTGTGGTTGGTCTTTGCCAGAATGTGGTGAGTTTTAACTAGGTGTGCTATGATCTGCTTGTTCAATGAGACCTGATACTACTTCCACTAGAACTGAAGCCCCACAGAACTCTCTGGTTGGGAGCTGTGGTATGGGCAGGGGTTTCTGCTGGTTTCTGGGGAAGGGGCCCCCCTGGGCTGGGACAGAGGCAAGCTTGACAGAGAAAGGCAGTCCTGCCAGAGTGTGGTGGGGGTGGGGCTTGGTGTAAGCAAGTTAGGCAGCCAGTGTCCTCCCTGTGCTGCTTCCCACGGGTGGCTCTGTATTTATGCTGATGGGCAGGGGAGGGAAAAGGCACCAGCCAGGTCCTTTGTTCTCAGAGAGGCATCTCTGTGAACGTTGCCTCTCAGGGACAGTGCTCCAGGAAGAGTGAGTAATCTACCCCCTGTGTGCCCCAGGCAGTCTTCAAATCACTCTTTCCACACCATCGGCCCTGGGGTTGTCTGCCTGCCTTCCCCCCAGGAGTAGGGCAGTGCCCCCCGGGCTCTATCCCAGCCAAGCCTGCTGACCTTTAAAACTCCAGGCTTTAAGCCCTGCTGATCGCAAGAAGTCAGGAAATGCAGCCCGTCTTGTTCTTCTTGTGCATCTTTCCCCTGTGTGCTCCCCCCTCTCTCTCTGCAACCACAACTCCCCCCCTCTATAGCACCTGCGATCCATTTCTCCCCTAAACCATATCCCCACACTTCCTACCTTCTTCCATGTGGCCTCTTCTCTTCCTTTAATTGTGGGGTTTGTTGTGTCAGTGTTCAGGTTGATTTCTGGGGTATTTAGGATGATTTGATAGCTGTCTAGTTGTGTTCATGGGATGAGACAAGCCTCGGGTCCTCCTACTCCGTCACCATCTTCTCTTACCTCCAGCAATCCAATACATTTTAAAGGGGCTCTAATTCATGAGAAAGTTTTTCCTCCAAGTGACTCAAAATTTACTTCCCTGCATGTAATACACATTTGTTCTACTTATCCCTTCCAGAGCTAAATAGGGTAGATCCAGTTACTTTTCACATGATAGGCCTTCAAGTATGTAGAGACAGCTATTACTTCCTGCTGGAGCACTAGGAGATAGTAAATACACCCTCTCCCCCCACTTTCAAGTTCAAAACCAAGTGAGAGACAGCCACTAGAATCTGGCAGGTGGAGATAAAAATATCAGCTTTATTTTTTAATCACACAGTTTTTTCAAACTTTCCAATTTGGAGATCCCTCGACATGGAAGCATGAGAATTTGAGAAAATAAGTGTTATTCACAACTTTTTCCCCACTAAGTCTTACACTTTTACAGGTAAATATCTCCATTTCCTTCAGTAAGTCCTCATACAAATATTTTCCTCATCTTTCATGATCTGATTCAGTGACTAACTTCAGATGTTCTCAAGTTAACCCAGAATACAATGGTACTCTTTCCTTTTAGGCTGTTAATGCAGTCTAAAATGGCACTTGCCATTATAATTTTAATTTTTAAATTTTATTTTTTTAATAAACATGCTGTCTCTGAAAATTGTTCCTGCAAAGAGGTCATTCTTTCTCCTTCCCTCCCTCTCTCCCTTCCTTCCTTCCTTCCTTCCTTCCTATGTGTATACATGTTGCAGTATGTATTCATTTTATTATTTTTTTCTTTTTACCTTTTGACCCGCTTCACCCATTTCTTCTTCTCCCTACCTCCTACCTCTGGCAACTACCTGTCTGTTCTCTGTATCTTCTTGTTGTTTTGTTGTTGTTTTAGATTCCACACATAAGTAAAATCATGTGGTATTCGTCTTTCTCTGTCTGGCTTATTTCACTTTGTATAATGTCTTCAAGTTCCATCCATGTTGTCACAAATGACAAGGTTTCATTATTTTTTATGGCCGAATAAAAATGTGTGTGTGTGTGTGTGTGTGTATACACCACAATTTCTTTATTCATTCATCCATCCATGGACACTTGGACACTTAGGTTGTCTATCTTGGCTATTGTAAATAATGCTAGAGTGAACAGGGCGGGTGCCCATATCTTTTTGAGTTAGCATTTTTGTTTTCTTTGGATAAATACTCAGGGGTGGACTTGCTGGATCGTATGGTAGTTTTATTTTTAATTTTTTGAGGAACTTCCATTACTTTTTTTTTGTAGTGGCTGCACCGATTTACATTCCCAGCAACAGGGCACGAGTGTTTCCTTTTCTCCACATCCTCGCCAGTACTTGGTCTTTTTGATTTTAGCCATTCTGACAGGGGTGAGGTGATATCTCATTGTAGTTTGGATTTGCATTTCCCTGATGGTTAATGATGTTTAGTATCTTTTCAAATACCTGTTGGCCATCTCTTTGTCTTCTTTGGGAAAATGTCTATTCAGATCTTTTGCCCATGTTTTAAAACATGTGGGTTGGTGTTTTTCCTGTTGAGTTGTATGAGTTATTTTATATTTTGGATATTAACCCCTTATCAGGTATATGATTTACAAATCTTTTCTCCCATTCAGTGGGTTGCCTTTTCATTTTGTTGATGGCTTCCTTGTTTATTTTTGCTTTTGTTGCTTTTGCTTTTGGTGTCAGAATAAAAAAATCATTGCCAAGACCAATGTCAATGTTAATCCGGACTATAATGGCACTTGCCATTTTTAATTTTATGGTTAACTAAGACCCCTAGATCTTTTCTTCTATATACTGATGTTTATCTAGTACTTATGTTGTTAGTGTTTGGGCTATTTCTATTTGTACTGTTACTATTTTTTTAATGTGAGTGTAGGATTTTATATTTATTCCTCCTGCATTTTATCCTGTTAGTGTAGAGTAGCATTTCCTAAACTGTGTTTCTTTTTTTCTGAAAGATTTTATTTATTTATTTGTCAGAGAGAGAGTGTGAGAGCGAGCATAAGCAGGGGGAGTGGCAGGTAGAGAGAGAAGCAGGCTCCCCACTGAGCAAGGAGCCCGATACGGGGCTCAATCCCAGGACCTTGGGATCATGACCTGAGCCAAAGGCAGATGTTCAATCAACCGAGCCACCTAGGCGTCCTCCAAACAATATTTCTTAAAGACAGCTGAATGTTAATGGGTGCTTCATGAATAAGGTGCTTTTTAGTCAAATGGCTAGGGAAGCTCTTGATTTGGCACCCCCAGGGCCTTAGTCCATAGAGCTATTTCACTTGACTGTTTTAAAACATGTTTTGAATGCCTTTAGCTCTGAAGGCCTTCCAGATCTCCACAGTCCTGACCTTCTGTTGTTTTTTGCATTGCCACCTTCCTCATTTATAAGCCCAACTAACGCATCTGCATCTGTCACCTTTGAATCAGCAGGTCTCTTTACTGTGGGATTTTTCAGTGGGAACTAACTCTGGAGGGTAGCATTGCTCGTTTGCACAACTGGAATCTCTTTCCCCAGGAAACTTCTTCATGACTAGTGTTTCAGAGAGCACTTTTTGGGAAACACCAACCACTTTAGGCTCCTTGTTGCAGCCTGTTGAAAGCTTTGCGGGTGCTGTATTTGTCTTCCAGTCTCTTAGTTATCCATCCCAGCTTCACTCTCCTGGGCAGATGGGACAAGCCTGCTTTCCATAACTTCTTTCTTGGTAATAAAAATGTCCAGCAGCAAAATAATAATAATAAAAATAAAATAATAATAAAAAAAGATGGCCGGCAGCATCAAAACACTGCCTGATACTGAATCCAGGGACATACCACTGAAAGCCTCCTTCCAGGCTACCACTGATGTATTAAGTAGTCCTTTGAGTATAAAAGCTTTTTAACTGTCACATGCCTTGCTAAAAATTTTGGACCTATGTTGTGTTTATGTCATTGTCCTGATTTCCCAGCTTCTTAATCTTATTGAAAAACAAATGAGATTAATGTAGCCAACTAATGTAGGCCTGTAGTGCTCATCAGATCCTTTTCTAAGGCCTCAAAGGTACTTTGGAAGTTACCTAAAAATGTATCCGAGGACAGTTCTGCTCTTCTAGTTAAAAACATCTCTCTTCTCCACCTTTCCCTTCGTCTGTCTACCCACTTTCTCTAAGTGTGCTCCTTGAGCCATGTTGCTCTGTTACCTTCGTTTATAGACGTTTTCCTCTAACTGCAAGATCTAGAGACTCCTTTCTTGTCTGAGAGAAATCAAGCAGTACCAAAATATTTAGCAGTTATAGCTTCTTGCCTCTAAAAGTATAAAGACATTGCAGCCTCTAGCATGTTACAAAGCCTTAGCAAGTCTTGATATAATGAATAACATGCATGTTTGATAAATTTAAGAATGAGAAAAGTTTACGTTAGGTGTCGAAGACAGGAGAGGATTTCCATTCTGGTTATGTAGCAAGGTCATGGGATACTCTTATTTTACTGTGATTTAAGAATGGTGCTATTTCCTATTATCCTTTTAGATGAAAAGATTTGTTCAGCTAATTTAATAATAGTTATAATACTCCATGTGTTTTAATTAAAGTTTTAATGACCCTTTCATAGTCATAGCAATAGAACTGAGGTTGAATAAATTCATTTCTCTGAGAAGTGATTTCTAAGTAACTTATGTTTTCGGGCTTTACCACCAGAATTTCTTCAAGACACCTACCCGACTTGCAATCTCTCAGAAACCGGATATAACTGGAAGTTGTGTGTGACAGCTATCAACAGCTCCATCCGTAGTCTTCGCTATGACCTCAAGAAGTCCGCATTCAAAGCATAGCAGCTTCCAGCAACAACTCCAACAGAGTCAGAGCCAAGAGATAATGACTAAAGTACTTGAATGCCAACCCTACTTTTTTTTTTTTAATTGTTGTATCATCCCCTAAGTTTCTCAAGTTGTAATTCCAAAATTAGCTTGTTGTAGCGGCGGTGTAGTTCTGTATTCACAACTGAAGAAATATCCGATGTTCTTTTTCTGCCCACATAGCAGACAGAATTGCTTTAGGAAGATGTGTAATGTTTCATCTTGTGAACAAAGTGATGGGCAGTACTCCGATAAGAACCTCTGATTAAAGGAATGGTAGTAAACTCCTAAAGGTTGTTTTCATTGCTGTTTTAAGGTAGAATGAGAATAGCACGTTTAGCTCTTAGTGATAGATGGGATCTGAGCATCAGTGACACACATAATAGATAGTGAGGTAGAGAGACATGGTTGGCTAGGCAGACCATAATTCCAGGTAGGTAGTAGACATTCAATATTCGTCAAGTGAATTGTCACTGCAGATCTGAGGTCTAAGCTCCAGTGACTCAGAAGGGAGGTATGGTTTACACATAACCAAAACACCCATGTTGGCTTTCTTAAATATCCCTCAGTAGGGGATTCATAGGACTGACATCCTATTGTTTGACCCAAGCTTTCCAGGCATGAGACCTACGGTTTTTTTTATTTACTCCTGATAAGAACAGCATCCTTTTATTTACCTCCTGATAATATTTTATCACAGCAGTTTTCAAAGAGTCAACACAGAAAATCATGTCAGGAGGCTTTTTGGTTCCATTGAACTAATTCAAATTTAAGAATATATCACTATGAATAAAAAGAATCTGACCAGATTCGAATGTTTTTTGTTTTTCCTGAAATGTCTGGATGAAGGTTCTTTATATTTACTGTGTTTTTCTGATTGATTCTACTAGTTGAAGTGCATACAAATTTAAATCTTACAGTGTTTAAATGAAAAAAATATTGATCAGAAATTCAATTAGAAAAAAGTGATCTTGAAGTATATCGGCAGGAATATTGGCAAATGAAAAAAATAATTCCATTTCGCTCATGAGTAGGATTTTATGTTTAGCTTAAGCACTTTAAAGTTATTGAATGTTTTAGCCATAGAAAATACTGTATAATTTCACTGATCATTTGTCTTTAAGAAGCATTTTGTCAGAAAAAAGAGAAACGTTTTGTTAGTTATAATGTCATCTCTCAGCTTTCAACCTATGGAACAGTTCTCAGTTATATTCGCTTTATCGCATTCTTATTGTTCAAAAAACAGTTTTTTTCCTTGTGAGAGTTCAGTCTTTAGTTGTGCACATTTGCTTATGACCCATGGATTTTCTTAGTTGACACTAATTAACTTTGCTCTTTTGATAAGGCAAAGAAGAAATTTAATAGAAAGTAATAAGTCAGTCACAGTAATTAGTGTGAAAGTTGACAAGTCTTGTTATTTTTGTGACTCGTAAAGTAGTTTAGGATGGTTTTATATGGTCAATTTGTAGAATATATACATTTTTTCAAATGATATGTCTTTTGAAAATTAAATTCAATTTTTAGAGTATTTTAGTGAAATATAGTATAACTAATTTTAGAAAGATGAAGATGTAAGATATAATTTTTACGACCCTGTTCTCCAAATAAATAATTTGTTGTTAGTTGCCTTTAGGCTAATAAAATTATAGTATTTCTATGCACATCTTTATATGTTTAGGCTATGCCTACAGTGGTCTTAAAAAGTAAATAATTCAAGCCAAAAAATCTTCCATACAGGGCAAAAGAGTTTTGACCAGAGTTATTCAGATTAATTCATCTAAGATAGTCTTTGTCTTCACCATTCAGTTTTATAAATAATTTTACACACTATTGGTAATACAGCTAATACGGAAAAGTAAAATTATATTCTAGTCAAGATTAAATTTTAAACTGTATATGCAGATTTCAAATTTGATTTGTATTTTGTGCTATCTGAAATAGTCCCTGGACTAGAAGCAATACAAAAACAAAAAGTTTATATTTACAAAAATTTTTCAAGATTTACATGGTAGACTTTATTATGGTGGTTGCTTATATAATTTGTTAGACCAGTCCTGTCCAGTATCATTATATTGGTAATGTTCTATAATTTTATGTTGTCCAGTATGGTAGTCCCTAGCCACATGTGGCTTTTTTTTTTTTTTTTAAGATTTTATTTATTTATTTGACAGAGAGAGAGTACAAGCAGGAGGAGCAGCAGAGGGGGAGGGAGAAGCGGTGGGGCTCCATCCCAGGATCAGGACCCAGGTCAAAGGGGAACACGTAACTGACAACCACCCAGGCAGATGCTTAACCAACTGAGCCACCCAGGTGCCCCCAAATTTAGTTCCTCTAATGACCAAATCTCCAGTGCTTAAGAGCCACATGTGGGGGGTGCCTGGGTGGCTCAGTTGGTTAAATGTTTGCCTGGGTGGGGTGGTCAGTTAAGGGTGTGCTTGTGGCTTGATCCTCATCCCAGCCAGGGTCCTGGGATGGAGCCTTGTGTCGGGCTCCCCGCTTGGCGGGGAGTCTGCTTCTCCCTCTCCCTCTGCTGCCCCCACCCCCAGCTTGTACTCTCTCACTCTCTCTGTCAAATAAATAAATAAAACCTTTTAAAAAATTAGAGGAACTAAATTTTAAATTTTACCTCATTTTAGCTAATTAAAAATTAAATTTAGATAACCGTATGTGAATAGTGGGTGCTGTATTGGCTAGCACAGTTTATAAACTCATTTTTTTTAAGGAAGTGTTTAAAATGATTCCCATGGTTTGAATTATAAAATTATATACACAATTTATTTTTATTTTTATTTTTTTTACGCACGGCTTCTTTACAATCACACTGATTGAGCAAAATAAATTTCACAAAGGTGCTTCATATTTTATTTTAAACTAAATTAGACCTTTTCTGCCTTCAAAATTTCACAGGTTCATTCCACTACTGTATTCATCCAATGTTAAAGATTTTAAATGCCTGTTCATAAGACTAGTTTTTGATAAATAAGTTTATATTTGTTATGTTGTCTTGTTTTACAAATAAATACAATGAATAAACATTTAAGATATTCTTAATACAGATGCTTAGGTTGTTCTTTACAATGGAGTAATTTTACAGCACTTTTACTAATGCAATCCACAGTGGTTTTTAAAAAATTAATAATAACATATTTTTCATCCAGTTACATAAATGTGACACACTTAGAATGTTTGCTTTCTTGCTTAATAAGCAAAGTAGAATAGTTGAACCCAGCAACAGTAATTTACTATTGTGGGCACAGTCATAAGTATATTGAAAACTTTGGAAGTGTTTTACCCTTCCTGGGTAAAATCGAAGTGTTACTAAAGCATAATATCATTTTATACTTCAATATTTATTTAAACATATGGTAACTTTTTTTTTTTAAGATTTTATTTATTTATTTGACAGAGAGAGAGAGACAGCGAGAGAGGGAACACAAAGCAGGGGGAGTGGGAGAGGGAGAAGCAGGCTTCCTGCCGAGCAGGGATCATGACCTGAGCCCAAGGCAGGCGCTTAACGACTGAGCCACTCAGGCGCCCCTGTTTCTCACTTTTTAGAGACTATTTCTGCATGTAGTAGAGGACTATCTCTGCAACAGTGGTGGCCTAACCACATTCACGCTCACTGCTTCCTTCACACTAACATTTTTTTTTTTAATTTCCCCTGCTACCTCCTCCAGCCTAATTTATTTTAACTCACAATATGTTAAGTTTGCAATGACTTTTTTCACCATGATAAAAATCCTGCTCGTCCTCTTTGAGATGGAATACTTGGTAATCTCAATTAGTAAAATTAATTTGTAAGATTGACGAGTGACAGGTGCAAATGTCTACACCAACATAGCTGGGCAAGAAATATTACTTTATTTTTCTGTAACAGCTTAATTTCTATTTTGATTACACAGCCTCCAGGTGTTCTCACTAGAAGTTCCAGTTAGGTGGGCCTGGGACCCGTGATGGGTGGGGCTATGTTTCAGCTCCCAGGCCTTGGTGTGACGGGGTGGGGCCGCTCCCGGAAGCTCCCAATTTTTCAAACAGGCTTTTCAGTGGGTAGAAGCTACCCTCAGCTACCTTCAGCCCTGGCTATGAATTAATGCCCGGGTCTGGGCGGAGCAGCAGCCCCGCCTACCCATCTCTGAGCTCAGGCGCGCAGGCTCAGGCTTCGAGCTGTCCCCGCCAGTCTCTCTGGTCGGTCCCGGGACGTTCTCCACGCCGCAGGTGCGGCTGTGACTCCGCACCTGGCGGGGGCCTGGGCAGCCTAGGCTCTAAGGTGGGCAGAACGCCTTGTTTGAGGACCCGAGTCCGGCAGACGTGCGCCTTGCCAAGTTCAGTGGTTCTGCAGGTGAGCAAAACTCGTGGTTGGGGCTACTGCTTGGGCGCTGCAGTTAGGAGCTGCGCCTGGCCTGCGTGGATTGTTGCAAGCCCCACCCCCTCCTCAGTCCCACTCAGATTCCCCTGCAATCCAGGTAGGGGCCCCCGCGGAGCTACCCGCAGTGTTGGGGCGCTGCTTGTCACCTGGGCTCTCTCTCCCCACTGGAGGAACCTGAGGCCCAGGGGAGGCCCCTCCCCGTGGTGCTGTGCTGATCTGGGAAGGGGCAGTGCGGTCCGTGTGTGTCATCTCTTACCCCTGTGAGGCCGTCTGCCTTGGTCTCTACGGTGCAGGGGATGCCTCGGCGTCAGCCGGGTGTTCCAGCATGCTTTCGGTGGTGTTTTGTTCAGGAATAGTTGTTAGTTATAGCGAGGGAGCGTGAAATCGGGACTCTGTCGCCATCTTGGTGACGTCACTCTTGCTTTCTATTTTTGAGCCTTCATGCACCGGGAGTAGAAACTTAGCCTTCGTCATTCAAGGCTTTTGAGTTTCCCAAGAATGCAAGTAAAGAGCCCAGGACATGAATGGAGATAGGTCTGGGAGAATACCAATGGGTGGGTATTTTCATCCTTTTATCCAGAATTGATTCGAAGTTTTAGTTGTCTTTACATTGCCAAAGCTGAGGAGAGGGTTCAGAATCAGGTTGTTGTCCTACTTCTTA